TTACAAGCACATATATCAGGAAAAGATTATCAGAGTCTGCAACTCAAAATCTTGTAGTCAACATTCACAACTTCCCGACGTGTTCTTTGAGAGTGTCGTAAAGAGTCTCGACAAGATTGAGCAGGAACCCGTCCGAGCCATGCTTTGCCAGCAAGGAAACTGAAACGGGTAGGTTATCGTACATCCCTAGTGGTATAGTCACCTGCAAATACGTAGAAATACGTTACAAACTTTCACAAGATATTTGCAGTCATTGAAGAAGAAAAAGATCGTAGTCATATACAAACATGGAGACTGGAGAGGGGGAGGGAGAAGTAGAGATAGATAGAGGGCTTAAAAACCTGGCAGAATCCGGAAACTACGGCAATGGATAGGAAGCTGAAAGCCCTGGCACGAAAATTGTGCAGTGTTGTAGGATCTGTTTGCAGCTTTGGTGGATCCCCTGGAACTGTAGGCATTGCGAGGACACCGAAATCCTGATGAGTAAATCAAAGAGATTGTGTTATGTATTCATTAGAGACGGTATGTATCATCCATTTCTTCTGCTAAAGGTACCTTTTTAAGAGCAAAAGGAAGGAAGATGCTAACAAATAACAGTTTGTCAAAGATGAGAGAGAGAGAGAGAGAGAGAGAGAGTACCCCGAGAAGGTCAGTAAGAGCAGCACGCAATTCAGTCATCACGGAGTGACAAACATCGACATTTTCATCTGTTGACCGAACAGCTGCCCATATACGTTCTCCTATCCCGGGACCTAAGTCAGGTCTGACTGTACTAACCCATTCACCATGGTTGCTCTTGAATTCATACCTATTCTATCAACCAAATGATAAATTTGGAATTCATTATGAACGACAAATTTGAATTTTGTTGATCAAGATGAAGATGCAGAAATTATCACACTCATATTCAAGTCGACCAAATCAGCACCTTTCAAGTAGACGATCGGCGGTTGATAGGGCTGCCAATGACGGTATAATGTACTCTTCACTTGGATTTCCTTTATCCAAGAAAGAGTTCAAGCTTGGAACTTTGTCCTTGACAACGTCCCCAAGGTTAGCATGTTTTATAACATGACCTGCATTTGCAGATATAACGAGTGAGCTTCTTCTTTCCATGTTATGAACTTGTCCCTATCTCAGCAGGAGACCTAATTTAATTAAGTGAATGATGATTTTCAGGTAATAATCTGTCTACTGAATTTAATGGTCTATTTGTGTCTTAAAATGCGAGGGAATTATAAATTGGACTCGATTCATGTCAATCAAAGTACTTACAGCAAGAGATGAAACAGATGAATATGGTCAAATCACTTACCCCCAAATAACTTCTCAACTGAGTCAACAAGTACTTGTTTCACTCGACTGCTTGGAACACTTGAAAGCTGGAAACAGTCTTCTGCGATGATTAACTGAGTGGGTACGACAGGACCTGTATCAGGCAATTGGAGTAACACTCGTCCAACTCTATTCAAAATCGCAGGATCCCTTGCAAACCATCCTATATCAGAAGTTAGTGTCAAAAGGATGGTTTCCAATTGCTTAGAGTGCTAGATAGATCATTCGCATAGGTAAAGCTTTCGAAGTACTATATTTCCAATTGCAGAAAAACTTAAACACAGAAGTGTCACAAGTAATAATCAACAAAAATGCAGAATGCCTGGATGGCATATGAATCATTAAAGCGGAAGAAGTTAGCTACATTCTAGCAACAGAAATAGAGATTTCCTGTTATATAAAATCGAGGGAAAACTGAAACATGACTTTTTTTGTCACAACCAGAAATCAATTTCCTAAGCCAGTCTGCAATATAAAATGTCATTGATTTCTCACCCACTGTATCGAAACTTTGTGCCAGGGGAGTAACTCCAGAGGTAGAAATGACACCATGAGATGGCCGAAACCCAAAAACTCCACAATATGAAGCAGGAACTCTTATACTTCCTCCAGTGTCGGTTCCTGAAAAATTGAGGGTCTTGTGCTTCAACATAAAGAAGCAAGAAAACAACAAAAGCACGCATGGAATAACCTACCTAAGGAAAAATCTGCGAGGCCTACAGCTACGGCAACAGCAGAACCGCTAGAAGAGCCTCCAGGCACCCTATCTGGTGCGCACGGATTTCTGGGTGTGCCATAATGCTTGTTCTCTCCATTTATACTGCCAACAACACAATGCTAAATTCAAGAGCATTTCTGTCGAGTGATTTTCAAATGTACAAAATCATGATATAAATACTTTTACCATGAAAAGAGACTTGTAGTGATCAATCATTTGTGAAAATTTTTGCAAACAAAACAGTAATGCAAGTTTAAGCATGTGAAGTAAGACAAGGCCTCTTTGCACTAACCAGTATGCCATTTCATCCATGACAGTTATACCAATACTTGTGGCACCTCCACTCAATATTGCTGAAACAGCCGGAGCTGTTGACTCAGCAGCCGGGTGAGTCCTCGCCCAATCAGGATTCCCAAACCCAGTCACACGTCCAGCCACATCAAATCTGCCTCCAAGTTCAAATTTCAGTGAACACAAAAATGTTTTGGCTTTTACACACACACATGAAAAAAATTGCACAATTCAACACCCTGAAGTTCACCATCATGGTTCCACAAGCACACATAAAACCACACAAAGCATGAAGATTTATTAAAACGCTTCTCTGAAAAAGCACTTCTCATCATAAGTGCTTTTGCTGGAAGTATTTTTACTTTAGTAGAAGTAAATCCACCACAAAGTTTCATTAAAAATTCAAGTGCTTCAGAAAAAAAACATTTGAACATTTTTTCTGAAAGTGCTTTTAGTCATTCTCAAATGAAGAAACGCCCAATCACAGAAACAACACACAAAATTGGGTTCTTGGAGACAACTGATTGAACCCAAATCCGAAATCAGCAAATAAGCACAAAAGCATATGAATTTTAAGTATAACACTACAAAATTTAAAGCATCCACCAAATAGAAGAGTGATATAATTGAGGAAAATTTAAGAGAGTAGCTCTCACATGTCTTTAACAGCAAAGGTGAGGCCGCTCAGAGGAAGGTCATGTGATGAAGACGGCGGTCGGAGAAGGAATTTCTCCACGAAAGCTCCATGATCTGAGTCTATCGCCATCTCTCTCTGCCACTGCTGTCTCAGACAATCTCAGCCTCAGCAGCAGCTCCACATTTGACGACAGAAGTGAAAAGCTCTCCACTCATCAATCATACGATGATCGTATTCAAATGCAAGGACAAATATTATTCCTTAAAAAAATATGTTGTTGATAAGGTGGTAACTTCAGTCAGTGAGGGCAAAGTGGAAATTCTGGAGGTAGCTTAAGTCCTCACTATGGTCCTTAGACTTTGAGAATTGATACAAATGGTCTTTAAATTTCTCCACCGTAAATTATTTTGCTCTAAAAAATTTGTCAATATCATCGTTGAGTGGTTGGGTTGATTAGACAAAATATCAAAGAAAGACAATTCAAGGACCGCTTCTATCGGTTTTCATTATCATGATCAAAGTGAGGGGTTTTGCCAAAGTCATGAACTATTTTGACTAAAACCCTAAAAAAAAAAGGGAATTGTTATTGGCTCTCCAAAAATCTCATTCTATACTCCAACTTTCTATATTTGGAAAGAAAACTACACTTCTGATGAGTGTAGAATAAGATTCTTGGAGTGTTAATAACACTTCCCAAAAAATAAAACATATTCTATGAAAATATTGTGAATTTCTTAGCTTATGGATCCAACGCAAGTACACAATGTATTAGGGTTTTTATCACAAATGATCCCTGAGATTGATCAAACTCATTATTTTGATCCCTCACTTTCAAAATCAATCAATGTCGTCTCTAACCTTCACTACCAAATATCAATTGGGTCATTCCGTTAAGATTTTGTTAACTATTCTGTTAGTTTATATGCGGGGCCCACAATTTCAATGAAATTGTGACATGTAGATTACACAAAATAAGGATTTTTATCGCAAATGGTCCCTAACATTGATCTAACTCCTCATTTTGGTATCTGAGTTTCAAAAATTAATAAATTTGGTCATTGACTTTCAATACCGCATGTTAATTTAATCATTCCGTTAAAGTTTCGTCAATATTCTTTTTCCCACTAATTCAATCATATGACGTCACGTGAATTAACTATAAGAAATTTTTTTTTAAAGATTTAAAACTAAAAGTAAAATAAGAGACTAAAAACCAATACTAAAAGAAAGAAAAAAGTCATCGTCATCTTCATCAGGTATGCTAAAAAAGAAAATAAAGGCACCATGACACTATTAAAGTTCTTGGCCTCCTAAACTTACTCTTCATTATCTCCAGTTGGTTATAATCCTATCAACTTTAAATTGAATTTGGATTCGATTTTATCAAATTTAGATTGAATTTTTTTCAATTGGGGTTGTGGGATGTGAGAAATATCAACGCAGAATACTCGTATGTTGGTTCAATCTTAAAAAAAAAAAAAAATTCTTATAGTTAATCCACGTGGAGCCATATTGATGAAATTTTAATGAAATGACTAAATTGATGTGCGATAGTGAAAGTCAGGGATCAAATTCATAAATTTTTGAAACTTAGGGACCAAAATGAGGGGTTGGACCAATGTCAGTGACCATTTGCGATAAAAACTTTAATTTTGTGTAATCCACATGTCACTATTTCACTAGATTTGTGGGTTCCACTTACAAACTAACATAATAGTTGACGGAATTTTAACGGAATGACCAAATTGATGTGGGGTAGTGAATATCATGGACGACATTAATTGATTTTGAAAGTAAGTCTCACTTACAAACTAACAGAATAGTTGAAGGAATCTTAACGGAATGACCAAATTGATGTAGGGTAGTGAATGTCATGGACGACATTAATTGATTTTGAAAGTAAGCGACCAAAATGATGAATTTGATCAATTTTATGGACCATTTGTGATAAAAACTCCATTGTATTATCAATGGAAACAAAATTTCAAGTGGCAGTTCCATACATATGCAGGCGAACTTTCATTCGCTGCGGTCGTAATAAAAAAATATGTACAAATAAGGGATCACAGGTCTGTGCTCGGCGAGTTCCACCTCTGCTGGCTTTGTAGTTACTCCCGGAGCACTCCAACCTAAGCGTTGCATGCACACAGCATCGTATGCTTCAATTTTCAAACCCGAAGCAAGAAATAGTTCCACCTCGTTTACAAACCGATTGGTTCTTGCTGCCAGGAAAGGCCCTGCTGCATCACAGGTTGATTCTTGAAATTCTCTTTGTTTTTCTTCAGGTGCCGTCGTTCGACCTTTTTGTTCATCCCTTGAAAATGCATGGTTCAGGTAAAAGTTCAGACAAAGAGTTCATTGAAATTTTGCACGTTTTCAAGCACTTCAATGTTGTTCTTTCTCATATCTTGTCCAAAAGAACTCTAAAGACGGGAACTAACTTTGGAACGTTATTCGATTTTTCAATTGAAGATCTAGGGAGTAACACATATCACCTCGTCAGGGATGAATTAATCACGCCATGTATGTGGTGCATGACGATGTCAACATCTTCCTCCTACAAGCAGCAACAGAAGCAAGTTAGCTATAAAGAGTCACCCGAATAACTATAACATGCATGTTCTGCTTTGGTCGTCATAGATAAAGAAAGACCACACGCACAATTTTATGATTAGCTAATTGGACTAGGTGATCCAGTTCATTGCCAAGCCAAAGAAACAAAAATGAAACTCTGTAAGATGTTGAAATGTCCCCGTGTCACCACGAAAGAAAATTTATGCAGAAGAAGCCAAGACCTGCATCAGAGCTTGGATTTCCCTTCTCCACCAACTTTGGAGCCAGCGGTTTGGCTGAAGATACTTGCTGGACTTCCGATACCGTGGTATGTCAAATATGTCACTTAAGAAAACTAATTAAGAAACAAAGTTAACCAACTGGAAGGCATGTAAACAGTGACGTCGTTTCTCAGGGATATAAAATGAGAAACAACACAACCAATAAAATGACAAGAAGCACAAAACCTGGTTCAGTGTAATAACACTGCAATCTATGCTTGTGCTCCTTTGATAAGAAAAAGCTGCAGATACCATTAACAAAAAACGATTTACAAAGAGGGTTACATATTTTCGAAAACGATTTACAAAACTTTATTTTTCAGGCCTATCCACCCTTGTTTTTCTCCCCTCCAGGAATTTTAGTGGCAGAGGTTTTGTGACGACGAGGATTGTTGGTAAAAGCTGTTATGTAGGAGACTTCTCCTTTCAGTATAAATGTCATTACTCTTCTTTTATTGTAATTTATTTATGCTCTGACATCATTTGTGTGAAATGGGTTCAATCCCGCTCATATGCGCAGTCTAAATTAGTTACTTTTAGGTTTTAATTTATTCACAATTTTCACTTCACTACATTTTATGGCTTCGTCACCTCTGAGTGTCGGCTAGTACATCACGATTTGGGTGTCTGCGTGGACATTCCGAGTCGGAATGTGTCAAAAATGTACCATATAAAGGCTACCAATTTTTTGTATGTAAAATATCATTAATATAAGTAATGACAAATCATGGGTTTTATTTAAATAGTTTATTTTAATGACAAATCATGTCATTAAGATAAATTATACTTTTTTATATAAGTATAATTTATTTTTTTATATTTTCAATCCCACAAATCATGAATTTTATCTAAAATCTCATTAATACAAGTAACTAAAAATATCAAAATATCAAATTTTAATTTGAAATTATAATAACCTACATAGAAATTTATTATTGTATTAATTTCAGGAACTTCAATAAAAAACTGAAAACCAACAAGGTTTCAATTGGATTAAAATTGAGGGACCATTGATACAATTTTTCTTATTTGATTTTTCATATTTGCCCCTTAATTTGGCCTCATGTGCATAGCATGTGACTTATTTTGGCATAAGTTCTAATGTAGTTGACAAAAAAAAAAAATCATATCTGCACGTTTTGATGAGTTTAGAGACCAATGTTAATGAATTTTTAGTTGATGGATCGTTGCTCCTATTAAGTTAAAGTTGAGAAATTATTGCTACAATTTCCTCTACAATTAAAGCTAATATATAAGCTTGATAGCTTGCTCATGGACCATACACAAGGATAAAACGAGGAAAATTCCTATCTATTTTAAACCTTATGACTGATTTGGGATTGTGGTTCTTTTATAAAAAACAGCTTATGAAAAAATCTGGAACATCAAATGTATTTGGTACCAAAAAAAAAAGTGCTTATTTAAAAAATTGTTGTCAATGACAACAGAAAAGTAAAGAAAAGCAGAAGCAGGGTCTACTATGTTTCTAAAAATTTCTAAGCATGGTGAACAGTGAGAATTTAATGAAATTTTCAAATGGCAACTGCATATTTTACAAAATAACAATCGTTGTCCGTGCAATATTCTCTTTGGCAATTATTATATCACATTAAATGTCATATCATTTTTAGTATTTAACAAATTCACATCAATTATATATATAAAAGTTTACAAAACACTCAGATACTGTTTTATTTTTTTACAAGCACTTTTACAATAAAAGTTTATCAAACGCTCAACAACTTTATTTTACAACTGTTTATTCTCAAAATACTGCAGAAACAATTTAAAAAAAAAAAAAAACAAAACATAACAACACCAAACTAGCAGAACTTACAAGCACATGTATTAGGAAAAGATTATCAGAATCTGCAACTCAAAATCTTGTAGTCAACATTCACAACTTCCCGGCGTGTTCTTTGAGAGTGCCGTAAAGAGTCTCCACAAGATTGAGCAGGAATCCATCCGAGCCATGCTTTGCCAGCAAGGAAACTGAAACAGGTAGGTTATCGCACATCCCTAGTGGTATACTCACCTGCAAATACGTAGAAATAAGTTACTAACTTTCGCAAGATACTTGCAGTCAATGACGAAGAAAAAGATTGTAACATGTCGTATACAAACATGGAAAGGGGGAGGGAGAGGTAGAGATAGATAGAGGGCTTAAAAACCTGGCAGAATCCGGAAACTACGGCAATGGATTGGAAGCTGAAAGCCCGGGCACGAAAAGCGTCCAGTATACTAGGATCTGTTTGCAGCTTTGGTGGATCCCCTGGAACTGTAGGCATTGCGAGGACACCGAAATCCTGATGAGTAATTCAAAGAGATTGTGTTACGTATTCATCAGAGACAGTATTTCTTCTGCTAAAAGTTTCGTTTTAAGAGCAAAAGGAAGGAAGATGCTAACAAATAACAGTTTGTCAGTCTCTCTACTCTAACAAAACGAACTCGTTTGATATGAAGTGACGGATTCCTAAAATGAACTTTAGCGTGTGCAAAGATGTGAGAGAGAGAGAGAGAGAGAGTACCCCGAGAAGTTCAGTAAGAGCAGCACGCAATTCAGTCATCACGGAGTGACAAACATCGACATTTTCATCTGTTGACCGAACGGCTGCCCATATACGTTCTCCTATCCCGGGACCTAAGTCAGGTCTGACTGTACTAACCCATTCACCATGGTTGCTCTTGAATTCATACCTATTCTATCAACCAAATAATAAATTTGGAATTCATTATGTACGACAAATTTAAATTTTGTTAATCAAGGTGAAGATGCAGAAATTATCACACTCATATTCAAGTCCACCAAATCAGCACCTTGCGAGAAGATGAAAGGCGGTTGATAGGGCTGCCAAAGACGGTATAATGTACTCTTCACTTGGATTTCCTTTATCCAAGAAAGAGTTCAAGCTTGGAACTTTGTCCTTGACAACATCCCCGAGGTTAGCATGTTTTATAACTTGACCTGCATTTGCAGATATAACGAGTGAGCTTCTTCTTTCCATGTTGTGAGCTTGTCACTATCTCAGCAGGAGACCCAATTTAATTAATTGATTAATTTTCAGTTAATAATCTGTCTATTGAACATAATGGCCAATTTGTGTCTTAAAACGTGGGGGAATTATAAATTGGACTCGATTCATGTCAATCAAAATACTTACAGCTAGAGATGAAACAGATGAATACGGTCAAATCACTTACCCCCAAATAACTTCTCAACTGACTCAACAAGTACTTGTTTCACTCGACTGCTTGGAACACTTGAAATCTGGAAACAGTCTTCTGCGATGATTAACTGAGTGGGTACGACAGGACCCGTATCAGGCAATTGGAGTAACACTCGTCCAACTCTATTCAAAATCGCAGGATTCCTTGCAAACCATCCTATATCAGAAGTTAGTGTCAAAAGGATGGTTTCCGATTGCTTAGAGTGCTAGATAGATCATTCACATAGGTAAAGCTTTCGAAGTACTATAGTTCCAATTGCAGAAAAACTTAAACACAGAAGTGTCACGAGTAATAATCAACAAAGATGCAGAATGCACGGATGGCATATGAATCATTGAAGCGGAGGAAGTTAGCTACTTTCTAGAAATAAAGAGAGATATTTCCTGTTACATAAAATCAAGGGGAAAAAACCGAAAACATGACCTTTTTTTTGTCACGACCAGAAATCTATTTCCTAAGCCAGTCTGCAATATAAAATGTCATTGATTTCTCACCCACTGTATCGAAACTTTGTGCCAGAGGAGTAACTCCAGAAGTAGAAATGACACCATGAGATGGCCGAAACCCAAAAATTCCACAATGCGACGCAGGAATTCTTACACTTCCTCCAGTGTCAGTTCCTGAAAAAGTGAGGGTCTTGTGCTTCAACATAAAGAAGCAAGAAAACAACAAAAGCACACTAGGAATAACTTACCTAAGGAAAAATCTGCGAGGCCTACAGCTACGGCAACAGCAGAACCGCTAGAAGCCTCCAGGCACCCTATCTGGAGCGCACGGATTTCTGGGTGTGCCATAATGCTTGTTCTCTCCATTCATACTGCCAACAACACAGTGCAAAATTCAAGGGCGTTTTCTGTCGAGTGATTTTCGAATGTCCAAAATCATTATATAAATACTTTTACCACGAAAAGAGACTTGTAGCGATCAATCATTTGTCAAAATTTTTGGGAACAAAACAGTAATGCAAGTTTAAGCATGTGAAGTAAGACAAGGCCTCTTTGTACTAACCAGTATGCCATTTCATCCATGACAGTTATACCAATACTTGTGGCACCTCCACTCAATATTGCTGAAACAGCCGGAGCTGTTGATTCAGCAGCCGGGTGAGTCCTCGCCCAATCAGGATTCCCAAACCCAGTCACACGTCCAGCCACATCAAATCTGCCTCCAAGTTCAAATTTCAGTGAACACAAAAATGTTTTGGCTTTTACACACACATGAAAAAAATTGCACAATTCAACACCCTGAAGTTCACCATCATGGTTCCACAAGCACACATAAAACCACACAAAGCATGAAGATTTATTAAAACGCTTCTCTGAAAAAGCACTTCTCATCATAAGTGCTTTTGCTGGAAGTATTTTTACTTTAGTAGAAGTAAATCCACCACAAAGTTTCATTAAAAATTCAAGTGCTTCAGAAAAAAAACATTTGAACTTTTTTTTCTGTAAGTGTTTTTAGTCATTCTCAAATGAAGAAACGCCCAATCACAGAAACAACACACAAAATTGGGTTCTTGGAGACAACTGATTGAACCCAAATCCGAAATCAGCAAATAAGCACAAAAGCATATGAATTTTAAGTATAACACTACAAAATTTAAAGCATCCACCAAATAGAAGAGTGATATAATTGAGGAAAATTTAAGAGAGTAGCTCTCACATGTCTTTAACAGCAAAGGTGAGGCCACTCAGAGGAAGGTCATGTGATGAAGACGGCGGTCGGAGAAGGAATTTCTCCACGAAAGCTCCATGATCTGAGTCTATCGCCATCTCTCTCTGCCACTGCTGTCTCAGATAATCTCAGCTTCAGCAGCTGCTCCACATTTGACGACAGAAGTGAATAGCTCTCCACTCATCAATCATACGATGATCCTATTCAAATGCAAGGACAGATTATTCCTTAAAAAAATCTGTTGTTGATAGGTGGTCACTTCAGTCAGTGAGGGCAAAGTGGAAATTCTGGAGGTAGTAAGTCCTCACTATGGTCCTTAGACTCTGAGAATTGATACAAATGGTCTTTAAATTTGTCCACCGTAAATTATTTTGCTCTAAAAAATTTGTCAATATCATCATTGAGTGGATGGGTTGATTAGACAAAATATCCTTAAAAAGAATGACAATTCAAGGACCGCTTCTATCGGTTTTCATTATCATGATCAAAGTGAGGGGTTTTGCCAAAGTCAGGAACCATTTTGACTAAAACCCTAAAAAAAAAGGGGAATTGTTATTGGCTCTCCAAAAATCTCATTCTATACTCCAACTTTCTATATTTGGAAAGAAAACTACACTTCTGAGGAGTGTAGAATAAGATTCTTGGAGTGTTAATAACACTTCCCAAAAAATAAAACATATTCTATGAAAATATTGTGAATTTCTTAGCTTATGGATCCAACGCAAGTACACAATGTATTAGGGTTTTTATCACAAAGGATCCCTGAGATTGATCAAACTCATTATTTTGATCCCTCACTTTCAAAATCAATCAATGTTGTCTCTAACCTTCACTACCAAATATCAATTTGGTCATTCCGTTAAGATTTTGTTAACTATTCTGTTAGTTTATATGCGGGGCCCACAATTTCAATGAAATTGTGACATGTAGATTACACAAAATAAGGATTTTTATCGCAAATAATCCCTAACATTGATCTAACTTCTCATTTTGGTCTCTGAGTTTCAAAAATTAATAAATTTGGTCATTGACTTTCAATACCGCATGTTAATTTAATCATTCCGTTAAAGTTTCGTCAATATTCTTTGTCCCACTAATTCAATCATATGACGTCACGTGAATTAACTATAAGAAACTTTTTTTTTTAAGATTTAAAATTAAAAGTAAAATAAGAGACTGAAAACCAAAACTAAAAGAAAGAAAAGAGTTATCGTCATCTTCATCAGGTATGCTAAAAAAGAAAATAAAGGCACCATGACACTATTAAAGTTCTTGGCCTCCTAAACTTACTCTTCATTATCTCCAGTTGGTTATAATCCTATCAACTTTAAATTGAATTTGGATTCGATTTTATCAAATTTAGATTGAATTTTTTTCAATTGGGGTTGTGGGATGCGAGAAAAATATCAATGCGGAATACTCGTATGTTGGTTCAATCTTAAAAAAAAAAAAAATTCTTATAGTTAATCCACGTGGAGCCATATTGATGAAATTTACAAAATGACTAAATTGATGTGCGATAGTGAAAGTCAGGGATCAAATTCATAAATTTTTGAAACTTAGGGACCAAAATGAGGGTTTGGACCAATGTCAGTGACCATTTGCGATAAAAACTTTAATTTTGTGTAATCCACATGTCACTATTTCACGTTGATGGAATCTTAATGGAATGACCAAATTGATGTGGGGTAGTGAATATCATGGACGACATTAATTGATTTTGAAAGTAAGTCCCACTTACAAACTAACAGAATAGGTGAAGGAATCTTAACCGAATGACCAAATTGATGTAGGGTAGTGAATGTAATGGATGACATTAATTGATTTTGAAAGTAAGCGACCAAAATGATGAGTTTGATCAATCTTATGGACCATTTGTGATAAAAACTCCATTGTATTATCAATGGAAACAAAATTTCAAGTGGCAGTTCCATACATATGCAGGCGAACTTTCATTCGCTGCGGTCGGAATAAAAAAATATGTACAAATAAGGGATCACAGGTCTGTGCTCGGCGAGTTCCACCTCTGCTGGCTCTGTAGTTACTCCCGGAGCACTCCAACCTAAGCGTTGCATGCACACAGCATCGTATGCTTCAATTTTCAAACCCGAAACAAGAAATAGTTCCACCTCGTTTACAAACCGATTGGTTCTTGCTGCCAGGAAAGGCCCTGCTGCATCACAGGTTGATTCTTGAAATTCTCTTTGTTTTTCTTCAGGTGCCGTCGTTCGACCTTTTTGTTCATCCCTTGAAAATGCATGGTTCAGGTAAAAGTTCAAACAAAGAGTTCATTGAAATTTTGCACGTTTTCAAGCACTTCAATGTTGTTCTTTCTCATATCTTGTCCAAAAGAACTCTAAAGACGGGAACTAAACTTTGGAACGTTATTCGATTTTTCAATTGAAGATCTAGGGAGTAACACATATCACCTCGTCAGGGATGAATTAATCACGCCATGTATGTGGTGCATGACGATGTCAACATCTTCCTCCTACAAGCAGCAACAGAAGCAAGTTAGCTATAAAGAGTCACCCGAATAACTATAACATGCATGTTCTGCTGTGGTCGTCATAGATAAAGAAAGACCACACGCACAACTTTATGATTTAGCTAACTGGACTAGGTGATCCAGTTCATTGCCAAGCCAAAGAAACAAAAATGAAACTCTGTAGGATGTTGAAATGTCCTCGTGTCACCACGAAAGAAAATTTATGCAGAGAAGTCAAGACCTGCACCAGAGCTTGGATTTCCCTTCTCCACCAACTTTGGAGCCAGCGGTTTGGCTGAAGATACTTGCGGGACTTCTGATACCGTGGTACATCAAATATGTCACTTAAGAAACCATGTAAACAGTGACGGCGTTTCTCAGGGATATAAAATGAGAAACAACACAACCAATAAAATGACAAGAAGAACAAAACCTGGTTCAGTGTAATAACACTGCAATCTATGCTTGTGCTCCTTTGATAAGAAAAAGCTGCAGATACCATTAACAAAAAACGATTTACAGCGAGGGGTTACATATTTTCGAAAACGATTTACAAAACTTTATTTTTTAGGCCCATCCACCCTTGTTTTTCGCCCCTCCAGGAATTTTAGTGGCAGAGGTTTTGTGACGACGAGGATTGTTGGTAAAAGCTGTTACGTAGGAGACTTCTCCTTTCAGTATAAATGTCATTACTCTTCTTTTATTGTAATTTATTTATGCTCTGACATCATTTGTGTGAAATGGGTTTAATCCTGCTCATATGTGCAGTCTAAATTAGTTACTTTTAGGTTTTAATTTATTCACAATTTTCACATCACTACATTTTATAACTTCGTCACCTTCTGAGTGTCGGCTAGTACATCACAATTTGGGTGTCTGTGTGGACATTCCAAGTCGAAATGTGTCAAAAATGTACCATACCAATTTTTTGTATGTAAAATATCATTAATATAAGTAATGACAAATCATGGGTTTTATTTAAATATAGTTTATTTTAATGACAAATCATGTCATTAAGATAAATTATACTTTTTTATATAAGTATAATTTATTTTTTTATATTTTCAATCCCACAAATCATGAATTTTATCTAAAATCTCAATAATATAAGTAACTACAAATATCAAAATATCAAATTTTAATTTGAAATTATAATAACCTACATAGAACTTTATTATTGTATTAATTTCAGGAACTTCAATAAAAAAATTGAAAACCAACAAGGTTTCAATTGGATTAAAATTGAGGGACAATTTCTCCATTTGGATTAAAATTGAGAGACTATTGATACAATTTTTCTTATTTGATTTTTCATATTTGCCCCTTAATTTGGCCTCATGTGCATAGCATGTGATTTATTTTGGCAGAAGTTCTAACGTAGTTGACAAAAAAAAAAAACCATATCTGCACGTTTTGATGAGTTTAGAGACAAATGTTAATGAATTTTTAGTTAATGGATAGTTGCTCCAATTAGGTTAAAGTTGAGAAATTATTGCTACAATTTCCTCTACAATGAAAGCTAATATATAAGCTTGATAGCTTGCTCATGGACCATACACAAGGATAAAACGAGGAAAATTCCTATCTATTTTAAACCTTATGACTGATTTGGGATTGTGGTTCTTTTATAAAAAAACAGCTTATGAAAAAATTTGGAAACCAAAAAAAAAAGTGCTTATTTAAAAAATTGTTGTCAATGACAACATAAAAGCAAAGAAAAGCAGAAACAAGGTCTACTATGTTTCTAAAAATTTCTAAGCATAGTGAACTGTGAGAATTAATGAAATTTTCAAATGGCAACTGCATATTTTACAAAATAACAATCGTTGCCCGTGCAATATTCTCTTTGACAATTATTATATCACATTAAATGTCATATCATTTTTAGTATTTAACAAATTCACATCAATTTTATATATAAAAGTTTACAAAACACTCTGTTTTATTTTTTTACAAGCACTTTTACAATAAAAGTTTATCAAACGCTCAACAACTTTATTTTACAACTGTTTATTCTCAAAACACTGCAGAAACAATTTAAAAAAAAAAAAAAAAGACATAACAACACCAAACTAGCAGAACTTACAAGCACATATATTAGGAAAAGATTATCAGAATCTGCAACTCAAAATCTTGTAGTCAACATTCACAACTTCCCGGCGTGTTCTTTGAGAGTGTCGTAAAGAGTCTCCACAAGATTGAGCAGGAATCCATCCGAGCCATGCTTTGCCAGCAAGGAAACTGAAACAGGTAGGTTATCGCACATCCCTAGTGGTATACTCACCTGCAAATACGTAGAAATAAGTTACAAACTTTCGCAAGATACTTGCAGTCAATGACGAAGAAAAAGATTGTAACATGTCGTATACAAACATGGAAAGGGGGAGGGAGAGGTAGAGATAGATAGAGGGCTTAAAAACCTGGCAGAATCCGGAAACTACGGCAATGGATTGGAAGCTGAAAGCCCTGGCACGAAAAGCGTCCAGTATACTAGGATCTGTTTGCAGCTTTGGTGGATACCCTGGAACTGTAGGCATTGCGAGGACACCGAAATCCTGATGAATAATTCAAAGAGATTGTGTTACGTATTCATCAGGGACAGTATTTCTTCTGCTAAAAGTTTCGTTTTAAGAGAGCAAAAAGGAAGGAAGATGCTAACAATAACAGTTTGTCAGTCTCTCTACTCTAACAAAACGAACTCGTTTGATATGAAGTGACGGATTCCTAAAATGAACTTTGGCGTGTGCAAAGATGTGTGTGTGAGAGAGAGAGAGAGAGAGAGAGAGAGAGAGAGAGAGAGAGAGAGAGAGAGAGAGTACCCCGAGAAGTTCAGTAAGAGCAGCACGCAATTCAGTCATCACGGAGTGACAAACATCGACATTTTCATCTGTTGACCGAACGGCTGCCCATATACGTTCTCCTATCCCGGGACCTAAGTCAGGTCTGACTGTACTAACCCATTCACCATGGTTGCTCTTGAATTCATACCTATTCTATCAACCAAATAATAAATTTGGAATTCATTATGTACGACAAATTTAAATTTTGTTAATCAAGGTGAAGATGCAGAAATTATCACACTCATATTCAAGTCCACCAAATCAGCACCTTGCGAGAAGATGAAAGGCGGTTGATAGGGCTGCCAAAGACGGTATAATGTACTCTTTGTAAGACATATTCTGAAATCACAACAACAAGACATTAGGATCACGAATAAATCAAATCAATATATAAAATAGAGATCGACTAATTATATTAAACTTATCTGTAGAATACGGAAGACATTGCAGAGTTCTTGGTCGTCTTCTACTTCCAGTACTTCAAAATATCTCTCTGCTGTGAATAGGGTTTAGCGTATTTTTAGAGATTGAGCGTATGGAAGCAGGGACTTAACCATAGTATTTATATCATTAGGGTTTAATCACAGCCGGCCTATTATTGGTTGTGAAAATCAAATCCTATCACTTAAGTGTTTAAGTCCCACCATGATACTATATCTTTGTAGTGAAATCCATCAGATTTCTTTAAGTCAATTGCAAAGGTTTAGACTCCATAATCCTTATTATGTTAGGACTATCGGATCACTTTGGTTGCTAACAACTTGATAGACAAGTGGCTTACAACAAAACGATCCAATACAACATTCATTATCATTCACAATCTTACATTCTCCCACTTGAATGTCAATGATTCATCCTCTAACAAAATAAGAACTCATGGTGATCACTGAGTCTTCATAAGTATGCAATAACCTTTCCTAGCAACCTGTCACTTTGAATCGAATGCAGAACCAAAGAAAACAAAGAACAATTTGGTCTGTTCCTTGCACTCCAAGATCACATACACATTCAACTTAAAGCACCTTGTTGCTATCTAAGTCATGGTGTCAAGAGCTAATAGTCAAAACATTAGCTCACAATAGTCGAACTGAAAATATGAAAAATATATTTCAGTACAAAAGTAGTTCATAAAAGAACTCAACAACGTTGGTAACAACATCCAACTTTTCTGTCAATTTTAGAATATGATAAGAGAACGAGTAAAATACGGCATACTATTTACAAAATTAGAACCTCTTATTAAAACTTATGAACAAAACTTAAACAAAATTTACTCTTAAAATATCAGCCACTAACACTTCAAATTTTTAACACAAAAGGTAATCTCTTACTCCCACTGATTAGTAGAGATAAACAAATTATTACTCCCACTGATTAAGAGAGTAAAAAAAAAACTTTTATAAATGCCTATAAAATGAAACAGACACCTTTCAAATACTCCCATTAGCAAAACATTAGTCATGGGATCTAAAACATAAAATTTATGAGCTCAACATCTTTATTTTAGATATTTGTAGGGAAGTGATTCTCATGACTGAAAAACTATACAAAATTATTTGGTCAGTTTTGTTCATCTAACAATTGACAGAAATAGAAAACTTTAACTGAATGTTTTCTAATGCATCAAAAGCATATAATTCTAGAATCATCTTTGGACAGAAACTAATTATATTAGGTTTGCATAGCTAAAACATAAAATACAAGGGCAAACATATATAGCTTCAACACTTTTGAGCAGATGAAGTATATACAATCTTGTCAATTCCATGCTTCACTATACATTGATTTATATAGTTGTACTGAATAAGAAAACACTTTTGAGCAGATTAATTATTCATCAATAACATATAAATCACAAGTTCAATTTCTTGAACAACATACAAGAATTAATAAGCAAAACACTTTTGAGCAGAATATACTCATTAACCCTTCTTGAATTTCTTACAAGATTAGTTGCATATGTAACAAATAAAATATAAACAAGTATGATAATGTACGTTTTATCTACCAAAACTATGATCATTAAAAGCATGCAAAATTGATGAGTGTGAAGCCCATAATACATTATTTCTCCCACTTGGGCAAACACTCAAAATTACAAGATTAAACACTAGAGAAAGTGGTTTTCATATAAACAAATATAGGCTAGTTGAATCAATAAAGATAGTGTACACAATCCATTAATAATATAAGATGACAAATTTTTACAAAGTTTGGAGTTAGAAAATCTATCAAAATTGTAATCAAATAGGATTTGTTGCAAGGTATGTAAAAACTCCATCAGTATTTCCCAAGCTCTACCAAAATTTTAGATTTAATCATAATTTAAATAAAACCAATTTACAATCTTTAATATGCTCAAAACACAAAAATTTCTTAAATAAATTAAAGGTTCATTTCATTAGATAAATAACCTCTAATATGCCCAAAACATTAAAATTTCTTACACAAATTTGTTGAGTCACAAAATAGTTGGTTTGGACATAATAAACCAATCTATATGTATCCATGTATCAAAATTAGGCTTATAAAAGGAACAATATCTCAACATTATTAATCGATCTAAAAAGTGACAAGTGATTAGATAAACCAATGGCTACAAAATTTATTTTAGTGTATGAGAGAAGACCCACATATGTGTTAAAGATTAGGTCATAAAGTAAAATGAAACCTAATAAGAGAATCCAAACTCAAAATTTATGTTTTAATTCTAAAACAAAGTCGATAAAAGTAAACACATAGATATCTCAAACAACATCAACTTTTTCAACAATAATTTAATCCAATTTAGAATTCACTGAAAATTAAGGCAAAAGATTGGCAAATTTACCTACTCATTCTCGATTCTGCAAGATTCATCATGGAAGTAGTTGAGTTGTGGAGGATCGAACCAACTCCAATTTGTATGATTGTTACACCTTTGGGCAGAAACTAATCATGCAAAGAAAATACCTGCGTAGCTAGCCAAAACATAAAATACACAAAATACATATAGCTTCAACAGCTTTGGCTAGATGAACATATGTTAAAAGTATTTTATGATTTGTTATAATACTAATTTATAATTGGTGAGTGATTTCCTGAATTTCCCATTGGGACAAAAGTATTCACCATATAAATTAGAATTCTGATTTTTCAAAATAATCTTTTTTTAGAACAGTATTAAATAACCGTTTTGTTGGATATTCAATGATTCTCAAAAGATTCAATCAGACACAAAAAGTATGTCGTTGTTGACATTGAACAATAGAGTTCTCAAAAGAAGAAACATGGTTATTCAGTTATTCGATAGGGACCAAAATGATCAATTAGTAAACTAATTCCACTTTCCAATTTTCTCAAAAGACAATTATCATCATAATCAGAATTGAAGACCAAACAAAACATTGGTTTAAGCAAAACAAACCAATACATCTTTAAATCAAAATTTAATCAGTGTTGTTTATAAAATTCATTAGTATTGAGAATTTTGCATAACATAAGGACATATTGGAACCATAAACTTGTACAATAATTGGTACCAATTGATGTACACAAATCAGTCAAACAATATCACATAACAAAACTAGTTTGAAGTACCAAAATTCAGCAGTACTACTTTAGTTTGCAAATTCACTAAAAACTCAATTCTCTTTAGATTGTCATGAAAATTTTCAAGTATGAACTAGACATATATGACTACTATTTTGCAAAATTTCATGATTTTTAAAATCTTATAAGCGAGCCAAAAATGAATTTGAAAAGAGAGGTGCTGCAGAAACAGCAGAAAATGTTCAGTACATACCCGAGACTAAAATAATTCACCAAAACTTCAATCTTCCTCCAATGTGTATGAAAATTTGCAGAAATAAAGTAGACATGTAAATTTATTGTTACCCAAAAATTCCATGATTTATGCGATTTTAAAAGTGGGCTAAAAAATAAAATCGAAATGGAATTTGCTGCAGAAACCGCATAAATTCTGCAAGACAGTCCCGAGATTAAAAATTCACCAATAATTCATTTTTAAACCAATGCTCGTCAAAATTTCCAGATTTGAAATAAATATCTCAATGTATATCATACTAAAATTTCATGAATTTATGAGTCACATAGATATTTCAAAATAATATCACAAGCAGACTATTCTGCGGAAGTCTGCAGAATTCCAACACTATGGTATCACACTTAAAAATTTACCATAAATCCATTTCTGGTCCAAAAAAACGTGAAAAAAATACCAGCGTCTAAAATCCATTTACATGACAAAATATTATATGTTATTGATGTTAGGGAAGTCTTATCAAACGGAAATTATTGATATGAATGATTTTCATATCAAAATTACATCAGTCACATAAAAACACTTAAGGAATGTTTATTCTTTTTCTATGTCATAATTGAAACGGACAATCGATTTCAAAGAATACTAAAAGTAATATTCATTGCAATAATAGAAGCGACTATCACTTCATAGAGAAATAACCAAGAACTAAAACTTACTTATTCATTTGCATATGCACTATAAGGATAAGAGTCGAAAACTGCAAAATTGAATTAATCCCAAATGAAAACACTATATTTGCTCAGAAACAACATGATAGTTTTCAACTTCTCAATTATAATATCACAAAATCAATTCAATTGGAAACAAAAGCTTAATTTCAATTCAACCAAATTGCAATAATTTATGAAAAGCAGTTTCATACCTTCGCATGAATACCCCGAAATTTCAAGCTTCAATTCGAGCATTACAGTGATTGAAGGAGGTTGGTGTAAGCTAGGCATTGATGAACAGAAACCCTCACACGGGGGAGAAATTCTTTACTGTTCGCATGTTTTTAACCCTTTCCTTTTTTTTTTTTTTTTTTAATCAAATAGGAACCGGTAATATTTATCAACTAAATTAATAATCAAAAAATTATATAATAAATCAAAATATTACCCAAGATAAGATTAGGTCATCGTTCACCGAAAACAATAGTGACCTTGCATATATATATATATATTATTTATGAATTATCAATTCATAATTATCAAATAGCAGTCCATAAAGTCGCATACAACAAACCTAGTTGGAGTTGTATACCTAATTTCAGTTTATCTTGATGCCCAGGTAAACGTGATAAAAAAAATTGCAAGAAAAATTTTGCAGAAAACACAACAGATGACACAATCTTCTCGGCAATACAAGGTTAACATATCCATTCAAGAAGAAAAAAAAAAAAAAACGCGGAAGCAAGAAAAACCCCAGAATCATATCACAAGAGCACGATTAATCGAACCAAAACAAACCCACTCTTAATAATTAAATGAGAGCCAACAAGAAAAATAAATAATTAAATTTCATGAAAACTATTTAAAGGCAGCAGTATGCATAGTCACCCCCAATCCAATCCATATGTTATTAACCATGAAAATGATTGCATACCAACACAAAATTGCGGAAGCATCAAAACAAATTTTCATGAGATGGAACAGTAGAAGGCATCCAACCAAAATGATAAGCAAATTTTCTTTAGTATGTGAATCATCTTCAATAAACAAATTTGCTTATACCTTTATATCGGACCCTAAGCTTGTTGTGCGGCTCTGATACCACATGTAAGACATATTCTGAAATCACAACAACAAGACATTAGGATCACGAATAAATCAAATCAATATATAAAATAGAGATCGACTAATTATATTAAACTTATCTGTAGAATACGGAAGACATTGCAGAGTTCTTGGTCGTCTTCTACTTCCAGTACTTCAAAATATCTCTCTGCTGTGAATAGGGTTTAGCGTATTTTTAGAGATTGAGCGTATGGAAGCAGGGACTTAACCATAGTATTTATATCATTAGGGTTTAATCACAGCCGGCCTATTATTGGTTGTGAAAATCAAATCCTATCACTTAAGTGTTTAAGTCCCACCATGATACTATATCTTTGTAGTGAAATCCATCAGATTTCTTTAAGTCAATTGCAAAGGTTTAGACTCCATAATCCTTATTATGTTAGGACTATCGGATCACTTTGGTTGCTAACAACTTGATAGACAAGTGGCTTACAACAAAACGATCCAATACAACATTCATTATCATTCACAATCTTACACTCTTCACTTGGATTTCCTTTATCCAAGAAAGAGTTCAAGCTTGGAACTTTGTCCTTGACAACGTCCCCAAGGTTAGCATGTTTTATAACTTGACCTGCATTTGCAGATATAACGAGTGAGCTTCTTCTTTCCATGTTGTGAGCTTGTCACTATCTCAGCAGGAGACCCAATTTAATTAATTGATTAATTTTCAGTTAATAATCTGTCTATTGAACATAATGGCCAATTTGTGTCTTAAAACGTGGGGGAATTATAAATTGGACTCGATTCATGTCAATCAAAATACTTACAGCTAGAGATGAAACAGATGAATACGGTCAAATCACTTACCCCCAAATAACTTCTCAACTGAGTCAACAAGTACTTGTTTCACTCGACTGCTTGGAACACTTGAAATCTGGAAACAGTCTTCTGCGATGATTAACTGAGTGGGTACGACAGGACCCGTATCAGGCAATTGGAGTAACACTCTTCCAACTCTATTCAAAATCGCAGGATTCCTTGCAAACCATCCTATATCAGAAGTTAGTGTCAAAAGGATGGTTTCCGATTGCTTAGAGTGCTAGATAGATCATTCACATAGGTAAAGCTTTCGAAGTACTATAGTTCCAATTGCAGAAAAACTTAAACAGAAGTGTCACGAGTAATAATCAACAAAGATGCAGAATGCACGGATGGCATATGAATCATTGAAGCGGAGGAAGTTAGCTACTTTCTAGAAATAAAGAGAGATATTTCCTGTTACATAAAATCAAGGGAAAAAAACCGAAAACATGACCCTTTTTTTGTCACGACCAGAAATCTATTTCCCTAAGCCAGTCTGCAATATAAAATGTCATTGATTTCTCACCCACTGTATCGAAACTTTGTGCCAGAGGAGTAACTCCAGAAGTAGAAATGACACCATGAGATGGCCGAAACCCAAAAATTCCACAATGCGATGCAGGAATTCTTACACTTCCTCCAGTGTCAGTTCCTGAAAAAGTGAGGGTCTTGTGCTTCAACATAAAGAAGCAAGAAAACAACAAAAGCACACTAGGAATAACTTACCTAAGGAAAAATCTGCGAGGCCTACAGCTACGGCAACAGCAGAACCGCTAGAAGAGCCTCCAGGCACCCTATCTGGAGCGCACGGATTTCTGGGTGTGCCATAATGCTTGTTCTCTCCATTCATACTGCCAACAACACAATGCAAAATTCAAGGGCGTTTTGTTAAACCCCACCCCCAATATTTTCATACTATTTCTATTTTTCCCCTAGAACATATTTGTTTTCTATCACTTTAGTCCCTTATTCTCTTTTAATCCTAACCTTTGATCTAGAAATGTTGTCTCTCTTAGACTGCCATGTGGCAGCTCTCATATCTCTCCCTTCTTCCCTCTATTCCCGAAAGACTCCCCTTCACAGAACCTTTCTTTCTTGTTTATTTTTTTCAGTTTCTTCCCTCTCTCTCTCTCTCTCTCTCTCTAAGCTCCGAGAGCTTCTCTCTAACTTTCACCTCATTTCCTTCACAAATCAAACCCCAAAAACCATATATTTGGAATCCTTGAGACCTAACGAACTCAATGGTACCCTTGCATGCGCCATCTGAGCACCGTGGGTTTTTCTGCCATTGAAGCCGAGAGCTTCAAAGCTCTAAAACTCGAACCCAGGTGAGGATTGTGTTCCTTCAAATTTCTGAATTATGCATGTTGGTTTTATGACAAAACTCAAGGGTTTCGATCTCAGTTTTTCCCTATGCTAATAATCTAGTTCCGACGACGAACTCTGGCGAGTTCGTAGGTGTGTGTGTGCAGGTTGTGTATGTGTGTCCGTGTGTGTGTGCGCGAACTGTGTGTGTGTGTGAGCATGCTGTGCATGCCGTGTATACTGTGCGTGTGTGTATGTGATTATGGGTGTGTGTGTTGTGCGGTGCAGGTGTGTGTGTGTGTGTGTGTACCGTGTGCATGTGTGTGTGCAGTGCATGCATATGCAGACTGTGCATGTGTGTGTGTTTATATATGTGTATATATATATATTTATGCAAGTGTGTGTGTGTTGGTGTGAATGTATGTGTGCATGCGTGGGAGTGTGTGTGTGTGCTGGTGTGTAAGTATATGTATGTGTGG